TGTACTTTTATTTAGCAAATGTTTCTCTTTATCATATATTTTTTCGAAAAAAAAGAACAATTTTCTTACTCTTTTACGTGTAATATTAATATAATATATATATAAATGTAATAAAGAATTATAAAATACCTGAAATTGAAATAAGATCAAAAATGAACATTTTAAATCTAAATGTTTAACCCTCTAAACTCGAAATCAAAGAGCATTGATTTTTATCATGTGGTTTATCTATCATAACCCAAATCATTTTTAATTATTTTACAAATAATTTTTTTTAACATCAAAATTAAATAGAAATTAAAATAATAAAGATAACTCAAAACACATTATAAAAAATATTATTGATGTTTTTATAAAAGCATTATTTTTTAAATTTAAATAAAAAAAGCTCAGCACAGGGGGGTCGCGGCACAGTGGTGCCGTGGTATAGTTGGATCAAGTTNTAAATACTACTTCTCATGAAAAAATTGTATTGATCCATACATTTCTTAAAAAGTTATAGCACTTTAAAGTAAAAAATGTAAATTATAAAATCAAGAATTTTCATACAAAAATAGCATTCGGTAGCCATTTTCACCATGAAGACAAGTCCAGAGGTCAAATTTTTTTTTTTCAAATTAAAGTATATTACATTAGCTTTAATTTAAGATATATATAAAAGTGTCAGACCTTCCGGAACATTTTCAAAAGTTCAGTTGAAAAAGTTATTTTTTTGTAAAAGAGTTGTCATTTTAAATCCCCCCCTGTGGGCAGATAAAGGGTCAGATTTACAAAAAAAATATACCAAATGATAAGTAAAGACATAAAGCATCTATATAAAAAAAATTATATTGATATGTTCATTTTTGAAAAAGTTACGGCAGTTTTTAGTAAAAAAAATTGAAAAAATTTCGAAAATTAGCAATTTTTAAATTTGTAACTTTTTTGGAGGTTTCCCCCATTTACGGGGAACGAGGGATTTTTTTTCAATTTTTGAGGGTAATGTCTTCGACTAGATATAATTTGTGATCTTTTGACGTATCATTGAAAGAAATCGGTTCGGTGAGAGCTGAGAAAAAGTGGTAACAGACACAAAAAAAAAAAAAATAAAAAAATAAACACATCTTAGTAAAACTAATATCTTCTCAGCTTCGCATCGAAGCTAAAATAATACAAAAAATACTATTTTATGGTATTTATAACGTTTAAAAAGAGAAAAAAATATAGATTTTACAATGACATATTGTTAAATTATGTACAAATTTCAAAAAAATACATTACACAAACCAGTGGTGTTCAAATAATTTTGTCATAGTTAAAATATTAATTATTTAAGACTAGCAATCCAGATGATGGCGCAGTCCTTCTTACTCTCCTAAATTTGCTCTTAAAATTAGATTCACTATAACTATAACTACACATAAATATTAATAATGTACAAGCCCATTTGCTATTTTTTTATTGATATATGCATTCAAGTTAGTTTAGCGTGGTAACTTACTCCTAAAAATAACTTGTACACCTTCCATCAGTATTATTTATTTAAGGAAATATTAATGTATTCATATAGTGTATTATCAAGTATTATTTGATTATACTTTATTATAATACATGTAAAATTAATATTTGAATAAAAGAAGGTTTTTTTAATTTATTGTCATTAATTAAAAAAAAACACAGTATAGGGAGAGTGACATAGTGTTTTTCAAAAATTTCGTTAAATCATTTTTTTAAATTTGTAGGTGGTATAAACAAAATAACAAGTTTATACAGAACCACCATTTATTACTTATGATTTTCATTAAATTTGTATATTATAGTGACCTAATTTTCTCCTGAATAATATGATTATAATGCTAAATTACATATTTTACTAACTACCGCCAACCACTTTCACCTCTAGAATAATTAATTTGGCATATATTCATGTAAAAATGAATAAATTAACGATAAATAAAATTAATATAAGGGTTGAAATTATAAGAAATGGCTACACTATTAAAAAAATCTAGTAAAAGAGTGTTCATGAATTTATACTTTTGATTTATTTGTTTGAATTAAATGAGCTTCTAATATTTTCCCAAATGATTCTTTATATTTTACAATATGTTTTTTACACAATACGGGAAAGTAGAAAACAGTTATCATTATATCATTTTAAACTATCTTAAAATCTCTTACTTTTGATATCAAAGTAAACATAATTTTCCACCAATCTCGTGTGTTGATATAGATGAAATATTTATGCACAGTTAAGGTCACGTTAGGGTGTTTGTTTAAACTATCACCACTATACCATTCAGAGGAATAGTCTTGCGCGGTATGTGCGTGTACATAACATTGTAGTTATCTAAAAATGCAACACAGGCTGCGTGTAGATGGTTTTCTGTATTATCCACAAAGCACATTAAAATTATACTTTATTACTGGCAATGTTTATTTTATTTGACCTATTTTACATTCTTTTAACATACAGCGAGAAAATAGGGAAGGGTGCACTTTTTTTATTATTAAACATTATTTTCACTAAATTTCAAAATTTTAATTAGACTAATTCTTGTTTTGATCATAAAAAATTGAGAAAGAAATTATTAGTTACAATAAAAAATGCTGTAATTGTTATCTTTCCGGTTTTTTCTTAACTTACACAAGTGTAGTTGTTGTAGTAATTTTTTTTTTGGTTTAAATTGTTTAAAAATTCTCAAAACAATATACTTTGACTTTTACGGTCCCTTTTGTGATATAATTTTTTTCTCATGTAATCATAGTGCTTTATTAAATGCTTGATATTACTGTTGTGCCAGCAGTGATAATTATTCGACTTTAGCAGAGGTTTTAGTGTTTGAGCATCCCCCATATATACTACCAAAAACATGAAATTTGTTTTCTTTAACTTTATTCAGTTTCTATACGTCACAAAAACTCAGTGTATCTAAAAACTACGCTGAAAAAAAATAACTAGGTAGCATGTTGTACTCGTAGGTTTTTATTTTATTAAGGCAATTATAAAATACTGTAAGTAACTATCTCGAGTTTTGGTATTTCGTGATTACTTGACTTTAAATTGTCTTTTCTAACAACAATAACAAAAATATTAAAAAGTTTTTAAATGTTGATAGGTTTTTATAAAATATTAAGCAATGTAAGTCAAAATTAAATGTTCATTTTTGAATGTAATTATGTTCATTTTAATTTACTGACTGGTGCGTAAAAATTGATATTACATTACATTATATAATTTTATAAAACGGAAAAATAATAGGATAGACTTATTATTATTATTGCTTTAAATTTAATTATCTGATGGAATATTTTTTGAATAAAATTGAACGGCTAACTTATATAAAAGAAAAATAGTTAAGTTATTTAACTAAGTAAAAAAAAGTGACAATACCTCATTAATACAAGATATTAGAATAAATTCTACTCGTTTATTTGTTTATGGTAAATTGAATTTGCACTATAAATAATTTGTAGTGGTTTTGACATTGAGTTGTCGTTGATAGTTTTATTTTTGTTAAAAATAGAAATCATATTTGATCATTTTCATAATTATGATCCACTTAATATTTATAAAAAACCGCCAGAAATTTATAGTTTTAGCACTCATTTTTGTTAAAATATGTTAGTATGCAGCAAAAGGACTCAGAAAAATATCAGCATCCGAATACATGGGTAATGTGTTAGCTTGATATAAACATGTCTAAAGATAATAGTTTATTTAAAAGAAACTCAAATGAAGGTAACGAGAAAGAAGCGTTTAATTCTCGGGGGAATACCCATCGCTTTTGAGTTTTGAATAAGTAAAAAGTAATGCCTACTATACTAATTGCATTACTTTAATATAATTCTTATCATGAAAATAAGAGTATTTATATAATGTTTTAATATTAATTTATTAAAATATAAAAAAAAATTAAACCCATAAATATTTTATTTTTTAAATAAATAAATACTTATTACATAAAAAGTATACATTTTAACTATTTAATTGAACTTTTTTTTAATATGAAAAATAAAAGAATTATTTATTTAGCTTAAGACAATGTCTAACGAAAAGTAGTGTTATTAGGAGTGTACGAAAATATTTGTTATAGAAAGTTATAATTTTTTAATGCGGTGTAAATATTCAACTAACTTGGGGTATTTAATTTAATAGAAAATATATTATCGATAGAAAAATAAATTAATACAATGGAGACTAAAGTACTAATAAATTGTTTACAGTAAAACATAATTAAACTTAAATTGAAACAATAAGTGTGTTCATAATATCTTAACTTTGTTTCTAATTAATAATTTTGTAAAATCGTAAAAAGAGAAGATTGTCGATTGAGTAACTAATTAATGATATTAATCAATTAGATTTTATCGTTACTTAATTAGGTATTCTAAATAAAGTTCATACCGTTAGAGCTTTAATTAACACTAATTATATTTTAAAGTAAATTTAATGTGTTTATATTTTGTTAAATATCGAAAAATCATCTCAATCATAATGAAATGTTTTTAATAATATTCTATTTCAATTTTTTTTTAAATAACAAAAGAATTCTTAGTTACGCAGTTGACTTACCAAAAATTTTTTAGAATTTTGTATTTAGTGATTACCAAAAATACAATAGAAACGATAAAATATCTAATCCAAAGATGAAAAAATAACATAAAATAGAGAATTTGCAATTGCTCGCTGTTAAATTTTAATTTTTTTAATTGCACCTCTTAATTTCATAACAAAATAATTATAAAACTTAGAAGCACATAATGTGTTAGTAGTAATATACTGGGATTAGGAAGAATGCGTTTAACATAAAAGATTTCTCTCTAAGAGGACTTGTGCATGGTCATTAGCATAAACATTATACATATTCTCTTTAACGGAAAACTAACTTTATATCCAAATGGAATAATTTAACAGTAAAATATATACCTAAAGAATATTTTAATGTTTTGAACAAATACTTTATAGAATGCTATATATTTTATTATGTAAATAAATATAACATATAGCCGATGCTTACCTTGATAAATAATGTGAGGCACGATTCCTTTCCGAGTGTCATACATGTCGTGAATCACTTCAATGAACGCTTCATCGGACGAGTCTTCTTCGCTATAATTTTCGTAATCCAATCCTTTAGTTGTCTCAAATTCAAAATTCATTACAGATTCATTTTCTTGCTGTAATTTGTGGTCATGTCTTATCTTTCTAAATGATTTGGTCACACTACTGTCATCATATTGAAAATCGCTGAAACACAACAAGACTTCGGCAAAAATGATCAAAACGCCGAAGTACGTCCATCGCCTAAGATCCCACTTAGTTATCATGGATTCTAATTTTCAGTATGAGTCACTTATCTAAAATTATCCTCATGTTTTTTTTGGGTTTCATTTATCAATTACCTATGAATTAAATACAATTTAGCTCATTGTCGTCGTCGTCATCTTCATCCATTATTATTAAGACCTACGTAAAATTAAAAAATTATTAACATAAAATAAAAATATATAGTAGTTATAAAATCAATAATTCATAGAAGAAATATCATTAGTTTATCGATTATATGTTTTCTAGTATTAAACGAGTATCTAATAAATGGTTAAATTGTAAGTAAATGAAAGTAATGATACGTTTATTATATAGCCAATATAAATACAAAATACTTCGTTTATTCCATAAAGTTAAAACTATGTAGATTTATAAAACAAGAAAATAATATTCTTTATGTATTTTTGAAAATAAATTGAACAAACATTAAATAAGAAACTTTAGTAGAAGTTAAATCATCATAAACATGCTCAATATTTAAAAATTTTATATTTTATTTTATAATTTTAATAATGATTAAAAAATCACTATGTTGTTATAAATCTAAAATTATTTTTACAGTAAAAAAAATTTTGATTTTACTATTTTGAAAATAAAATAGAATTTAAACATATATTGATTAAACTTATTATGATAATTGTTTTATTATTATCATAATTTATTATAACAATTTATTATCTTCATATATGAGAGTTGGCATATTAAATACTGTATAGACAAACAATACTTGTGTTTATAAAAACCAAAAAGGATATCATAAAATTAGGTTAAAATATTATTATTTTTTTCTGAATGTTTATAACAAAAAAAAATGTTTTTTAACACAATAAAAATAATAATATATTTCTTATTATTTTACTACAAAGGGCTGACATTTTTAAACAAAATAAAATTAATAAAAAATATGGATTTTCTTGTGTAAAAGTTTTAAAATAGAAATTTGTTTTAAGGCAAAGTTAAAATTTAATAAAATATTTATTATAGGTTTTCCTTACCGTAAAATTTTGAAACGAAAATTTATACTTAGTTGTGAACACTTTAGATATTTTAACTATCTTAAATCAATCAACTTACAGACGGCGATCATTAAAATGATTAAGTTTAAATTGTGTACATCTACCAGGCCATATAGCAATAGTTTAGAAAACTAACGATCAAATTAATTTTTGTAAACCTTTACAAAGGTCGTCGTATTACAAGTATTAGTAAAATGTTTAATGTCAAAAAAATAATTTTCTCCGATTAACATGTATGTGTCAAAATATAACAAACATATAACAACATTTGTTAATTATATCAAATTGGAGGTTACTTTGAAATAAAGATAATAATTAATGAATGAACTTAGAAATCCATTAGACATAGTGCCACCAGTACCACCATATCATTGGCGCCCTAAGGCAATCATATATTTAACGCCCCTATTTAATATATTTTCAAACAAAGCGCATCTTATGTAAAATAAATGTATTCATAATTTTTTGGAGCCCTAGTGCACTTGTCCTTGTTGTCCCAGGTTAGGCCGGCCGTCTTTGTAGTATTAAAAATTTAAATAACTAAAAAAACTAGTTTTTATAATCCTTTTACAAAAATAATTTATTTGTAAAGCATGACGACTTTTAAACTAAAGGTACTATGTAATTTTATTTTGACCCATGGGTATAATTTCATATAGTTGTACACGGTTGTACCACAATTGCATAAACGATACGCCGTATGATGTACTTGTATTGTACGACGCCCTCCGTCTTTACCTAATGTAATTGTTACTGCTTGATTTAAATTGAGAAATTTTACTTTCGTTTACTTAAAACAAACGAGAATTATGTAATACATTATGACCCTGTGTTTTCACGTAGCAATAAAATGAAAACTAAAACCATTCACTATTAAAAACCTTATAAGTGATTAATATAAGAATACCATTTGTTTTATTTTTAATGTAAACTAAACGTTAAGCTACAGACAAGCAAATTTAGGAATTGAACAGGCATGTGAATTAAACCAAAAATAATGTTTTATACAAACCACATGTCTTACACAAATATTTGAAGTTACTCTTACAGGTAATAGTCTACGAGTGAACATAAAATTTGATAAGTTATTCTCACCTAATGGCTTTTGCATAATGTAACATAATGATGTACTGAATGTTTTGTATCCATTTGGTTAATGATATAAATTCAAAATTTTACTTAAACTATATAATTACAAATAACGTATGATCAGTAATAAATATTTAACTAATTGTAAAACTAATTTTTAATCTAGAAGTGAGACTTTTATTTTTTTTTTTAAAGCCATACTAACTATTCAATAAAATATATAAATTGTATTTCCAATCATTATACTCAGTTAATAAATAAATCATAATGAAAAGTACTGATGTATAAAACATCTATATCGTACAAAAGGTATAACATCAATATAAATGAAAACAAAATTACTTGCGTGTAAAATTAAATTATTATGGCACAAAAAATCAATAATAATAAAAAAATTATTATTTTAACACTTTTATTGTTGGCAAGATATAAATTAATTTAGTTGAATTTTTGTATAAGTGTATTAGTGTACCAATTTTTTAGTTAACTTCAAAATTGAAAAAAATTACTGAAATCTACAGGTACATATAATTAGCCATATATTTATAATATTTGGTAACAATTTAGCCCTCTCCATTAAAAATCATGAGTACACATTGATTTTAATTATTTTTCGGAAGAGGGATATGTTATTAAAACTAAATAAAGCAATATAATACTTAAAATTGTATAATTAAGTAAATTATCTTTTAACATTTGTATACAGTTTAACAAAAATTTAATGTTGAAATAATTCTTAATAGGTACATATTGATTTTATGTAAATGTATTTATTAAATAGATCAGCTAAAGTCATTTATATTTAACGATCACCTAAAAGTTATCTTTTTATGCATTGTGTAAGTTTAACCCTAGTTTAATTGTCGAAAACTCTTGATATTCATGATTGACGTGATCCGATAGAAAATATATTTTTATAAGCATTCTAGTGTACTATTGTTATTGATGAATACATGCAAAACTAAAATTTCCTTTCAGCTATTGAATATCCAAAACACTTTATGATTAAACAGTCATATCTTTTAAATCTTTTAAATGGATAGATTATATTACTAGTTAGCTTGAAAATTTACTGACTTTGTTATATTCAAGAAACTTGTATTCCATTTTAGTAATATATTATAATATCGTCTTCAAGACTTTCATTAGTCTACCAATAAGCTTGAATTGTGTAAACTAAAGCCGATTAATGTAGTTAGAATTACTTTCGCTAAATTTCAAGTTATTTTCTGTTGAATTTACGGTTCACAAAATATTGAAGTCGTTTACAAAATGTATATTAATATATATATATATATATATATATATATTTTAGTAAAAAATATTTTAAAAAATGATTTTAATAATTTTCCAGTAATAATAATTTTTAGTCAATGATTCCGTACTTTATAATTAAGTGTAAAAAAATTGGTGATATATATCATAGTACATATAACACATACATTATAACATATATGTTACATTATGAAAAAAAAACAAACTCAATAATTACGTACCAGTCTAAAAATGTTTAAATAAGTATACATTAGTATTATTGATATATGAATAAAAAAATACATAACTTCATACGTACTGAACTATGGTAAAAAAATATATATTTAAAATTAGTTCAAGCAAAAATTTACAACTAATATTAATAACAACTATATTTAGTAAATTTTGTGTTAAATTCTTTTAGAGATCGTTACTACTTGATTTTATATACTAAGTTATACATTTATACGTTATGTATATAAACCACAAATTCATGTAATAATAATGGAAACTAGTAGATTGACATTGGAAATTTTTATATAAGTGTCTAAACACTAATTTATTTGCTTAAAGTAACTTTCTATAAAAAAACATTAATAATAATTGAGCTACAATTACTTATACTAATTTTATAGCTAAGTATAGGATATAAATTGTGACGTGACAAAAACCACTTCATTTGTTTATTTTTACTATTTGTATATTTTGCTTTTTGTCATACAATAGACAATAAGAAAAACGTGCACTTTTACCAATCTACTTTGACTGGTTATTCTCCAATTTAAATTATTTTCTAATGTATTTTTCATTTATACACACATTTGGAGTTTTCATATCACTCCCAATTGTATCCAATCTTTTTTCTCATTTTCATTTAGCGTTTGTAATTTCTATTTCCTAATAAAACTATCTAAGCCTATTTTCTCACTCATCCGTCTTAACATTCTTATCTCAGCTACACTCATTCTCTTCTTTTTATTTTGTCAACGGCTCAATACTCTGAATCATGCATCATAATATCGCTATGGCTGACAGTCCTTAACTTTTAACCTCATTTTGATTTACTTTTGGACAAAAAATCAGATTCTTCTCTCCACTTAATCCACTAGCACGTAGTCGTAAATCTTATTTTATTTGGCATTTGTAACCGTTTAATTTTTATGATATATGTCAATATTGAAGAGCTCTGGAAATCTCTACTACACTTACATTAGCCAATCTGATTTTATCAAAGTCTTAAACGGCAAAATTCACTCTCTAATTTTGGGAGAACGCGATAATAAAAAAAAAATGTAAATAGAAATTGATCATTTTTATGACTGTTTAAAATTTTATTGACTTTTTTAAAAAAATTTTTATTTATATGAAGTATCTTCTCAAAAATATCTTTCTTTCAAGCTATTAACAAATTTTTAGAGTTTACTTTAAGAAAAAATAAATGTAATATTTTCAGGATCTTCATCCGATGTTTTTCTGTATTCAAATTTTTATACTGCTCTGGCATGACATAGGATTTTTCTAACTAACATTTCACATTAAAGTCAATCTAATTATCTATCTATTCATATTTAAGAACATAAATTGAATTTTTTTTTTTGATTTTCAATGAGATTTTGAAGTTGACTATCTTAATTTTGATTATCAAGAAAATAAATACTAAACTTAAAACTAAATTAATTAAAACTATTAATCGATAGGAAAATTTTAAACATAAAAATAAATCATTTTTATTAATTTAGAATCATTTACGTTCTAATAAATAAAAATGCTGAGGACTTA